GATCATCCCCTATCCAAATACTGATTTGGATTGGGATAACTCCTAATTAGGAGGTTTCTTAATCAAGAAGAAAAGAGGAGAAACCCTAAGAGAGAGAAAACAATCAGATTTCGAACCAAGGGTTAAAAGCAAGAAAGCTTTATGCGAATTGAGATTGGATCTCATACACACTCCAGAGAGAAGATAAGCAATTCAGCCATTTTCGTCTCAGGAGATCTCCTCCAACCGCCGCCTCTCTTTCTGACAAGATTCGATCTTTGAAGAAGAAAGAAGTCAAGAAATCAGTTCTTGACATCAGTCTTGCAGAAAAGACTGAAAAAGATTTGGTGCTCAAGAGTTTCCAAAGGACTCTTGAGAAGGATCCAGTGTGTAGGACGCACTCTGCTGTTTCCGTTCCACATACAATTGTGTCATCTTCAGCAGGAGCGGATCTTGGTGTCTTCTTTGGGCGTGAACACCAACTTTCGGAGATACTGCTTCTCTGGATCAGGTATAATTCCTCCCTTTTCTTTTTGGTTCAGATCTGGTTCGATTATGGTTCAAGTAGGATCCTTGAATGTTGTATTCTATTTTAGAGAATACGATTCCCAGTTGGAAGAAGGTAGGAAAATTTTTGAAATTCGCCCACCCATTCCGCAACCTTTTTTGGCGTCCATTAGATGGATCCTTCCATTCTTTCACAGGAAGATAGTGAGCTTCACTTGCTATCAGGACATTATTGTATTACTGATTTAGGGTTTACATTTGATTTCAACATTATACCTCACATTAATCTTTAAGTCTTTAAGGTTACTATCAAGATTTCATGCAAGGAAAACCATAATTTTCAACTCTAGTCCTATTAAATTAGTTATGTTTTCAATTTTCAACCCAGTTAAATGCATCAAAATTACAAAAAATACTCCTGGATAATTTACCTTTTTTCTATTTTCCCAATTTCTTTGATTGATTTTAAAATTACAAAATCCCAGATTCCTTTTACCATCCTACATCGATAAGACCCATGGAATATCTATCCGTGGGTTAAAGGTGTAGATCAACTGGGTCCCCTCTCTAGCTTACAATATTAGACCAAATTATAGCTTATATCATGTACAGTCTGAAAGCCCAAATAAAGTTCCAAATCCAAGCGTGTCTACATACAGCCATTAAATAACTAAATAATGTATGACTGACAGTCCTCTAGACCAATTTTTGTAGCCGCCTCTTCCACATAAAAATTTCTTCTTTTGAAAATGTTTATTGCTAATCATATAATAAATAGTTAAATGTTCTTAATATGGCAATCAACCTATGAAAGACTATAATCAGCCAAATGATGTATATGACCTTCAAAGAGGTCTAAATCATGTACCGATATCTTTGAACCAGATAAGTACCTCTCTCATATCGAAGAGTTGACTCAGTAGCTTGCCTTAGAATATCCTCAGCATTGTAACTGATAAAGAATGACATTTTCAGGGGAGGAGTGGAGGATGCATGCAAAGCATCTAAAAAGCTCTTTGCCACCTGTACAAATATATGGTTAAAGTACCTAGAAAGTATACAATATGCTACTGGGCATATTAAATAATTAATGCAACATTGAGTAATAATTTGAATAGACACATTACAACTGAATGGCAAATCAAAGATGAACATGGTAAGAAATGATATACCACAAGGGGAGTTGTTTCTCCTGAAATATAGGCTCTTGAGTAATCTTGTATTGTCCAACGTCTAAATGTGGGCTGCTGAGTATTTATTATAACATCTGAACATAAAGGCAAGCAATCCACAGCATGCTGAGCTTTCTCAGATGGTGGCAATTCAGATGGTATGCATTTAGCTTCTTGCTCTTTAAGGTCTGCCATGGTTGTTTCAAGTCAGAGATGAGAAACAGTGGTAGCACCTACTAAATTGGTGCATTAAAATTGATTTTAGTGACAAATTTCATGGAAAGATCAAGCTATGGATGAAAACATTTGGATGAACATATACATCTAAAATCCAGCAATTGCAGTGACAATTTTGTGACAGTAAGAAAATTTAAGGAAAAATGAGTCCATGAAGAAAGTTAACCTTTCCAAGGATGGTAGGGGACATAAACAGGTGGCTCCTTCAACTCTGCAAATGAAACGAGCTGTAAAAAAAAAAAAAATCAAAAAGAAATTTAATTTCTTCAATACAAGTTTTGATAGGTTGTTAGAATAGTATAATTCCAAATTTCATTTACTGAAAAGAGGAAAACCAATAGGTCTTTTAGACCTAAAATATGATGAGTGTTTGGCACAAGTACAAAACACCTAGTCAACAGTAAGAGTCTAGCCCCTGCCAACTCTTAAAACTTGACATGACACTTTTTAGCATCTCAGCAATGCTACAAGAACTTTTTTTTTTCTGTTGCTATGAATACCAATACTTGAACCCAGATCTTGTGGAACAACTCAAAACCTTGGCACTTATCAGCCATGAACAAAATAAGGAGAAAACTTTTTGATTCATTATACTTTTATATTACTTATTATTATTTATGTAAATTAAATGTTATTTATGATCATCCCCATGCCTTTTTTTTGTTGATGTGTTAGACACCTAAATACCTGCCCCCCCGTGCCACATACCAAGGAAATACTCTTAGGCAAGTTATCAAGGATACAAAGCATTTCTGAGTGCATGCATCATAAACCATCGATACAATCTAAGCATGGTCCTTGTATCCTGATGTAAATTGCATTCATTGACCAAAAATATCTACTGATAAATAAACATATTCTGATACTTCACTAGCTAGAAGAAAATCATGTATAACCATAAATTGAAACATTGATACAAATAGAGAAGACAAGATAATAAAAAATTTCCTAAATAACCAAAGTTTGAAACTACTGTACTTGGAAGTGAAGAATGAAACTAGAAGTCAAAGATAAGCAACTATACAGCTAGACATGGGAATTGGGAAGTACAATACAATTTTCTATCTTCCAAGAAATGGAGTATTATGCAGCATACTTGAGTGTTAATGTAATTAGAATTTTAAGGAAATCAGGAAAGAAGAAAAAAGAAACCACAATCAATGAGACACATGGAAAGAGATCAAAAGAAAAAGAATGGAACTATAGAGAAAGAACTCTGCATGTAGACCATGAAAAATTTTGTGCTTCTATGAACTTGACAAAATTGTAAAATATTTATGCAAGAACAATGGACTGAATGTGAAATAGTGGTTTCAAATTATGTTTGTCAAAGAGATGCAGTATATAAATCATGGATAAAAATTTCATTAGTAAATTAATGAAAGTATATGAATAAATGGAAATTCAGGAAAAAGGAGAAAACAGAAGTGTAGAACAAAAAATCACAAAACTGACAAAAACAAAATCCAGAATCAGAAAGGAGGATCCATTTTTAGGATGGGAAAGGTAACATATATAAACTTCAAAAGTGGGAAAATCTATGCTGCCTAGGGGTGCAAGTTGGGAAGGCTGGGCCAGATTTAAGCTCCACCCAGGCCCAACCCTAAGAATTGGGCCTAAGGCACAAGCCTGAGGTCAAGCCCAAACTGTCCAACCCAGGCCCGGCCCAAATTGATATTTGATGCACTCGGGTTGGGCTCGAGCCTGGTCAATCAGCCCACATTAAAATTTAATATATATGCATGTGTGCATTTATGTAAGATTTATCAAAAAAAATATGCATATATGTGTTTGTATATGCATATATGTATGTACATAGGCAGGCAGGCTGGGCTCGGGTTAGGATAAGGTAGGGCCAGGTTTGGGCTATCTAAGGGCTAGGCTCGGGCCCAGGCCAAAAAAATAAAAAAGCCCAAACTTTTGGACCCAGGCCCAGCCCAAGGCCCTAAAATCCAAGCGCAACCTGTGTAAAATTGTGGGCTGGGTTGGGCCCGCCGAAATTGCGGTCCAGGCTCAGGTTGAGCCCGCCGAAGTTGCACCCCTAGTGAAAAGACATGATACTGGAAGAGCTTTGACCAATCAAAACCCTCCCGTGAATTTTGATACATACCACCTGATTGGTTACCACTTTTATGACACCTTTTGATTGGTTAAGAGTCTTTCTGGTATCATAGTCAAACCAGTAACTAGGAGCTCTTGGTTATTATTTCCAGTTATAAATAATTAGAAAAAAACGAAACCTTACTTTTAGTGCTGAAGTCAATGGTCATATGTTTATCTGTTTTACTGGATTCAACTAAGAAAGTAGAAACCTATTCTTTTCAGTTTACTTTTAGTTAGAGATGAACTTTGTCAAGTGAGATACTAACAATCTTGGGTTTGCAGTCACTGTAATATTGCTAATGGGAAAGTAGAAAGATTGTCACTGCAATACTGCTAAATAAGATGCCAAAAAAAAAAAAAAATACTGCTAAACAAGAAATTAGAAAGATATACTTTCCTGTTTGCATCAAATTACATATGAAATTTGTCAAGTGAAATGTAGACAATCTCAGGCCTGAAGTTACTGCAATACTGCTACATGCAGTAGAGAATATGCAATTAATTCGTAAAAAAATATAATATACAAAAATTCAGATTTTCAAAGACATGGAACCAAAAATTTTGGCAAATTTCAAGTAAAATATTTCAAACATTTTACTTCAAACTTTTAAAATAAGAATGTATAAAACATGAATTCATATTTCCCATATCATATTTGTGATCTACGCACATTTAGTAACTAAGGGTTGTGCTATAGACATTGATAAGCAGGACCTTATAGGCCAAATTTAAGTGTCTGAGAAAAAATGGTCTGCTCACCTTCCATGTTCAACTATTGTTACTTATGCCAATATAATATACAGCAAAAATGTAATAGACAGAAAATGATTGATAATGTAGAACACTAAGCAAATGCTTATGTTAATCTGATACATGGGAAGATGATATTATCTGGGAAGGTGTATATGTCTTGCTTCCTAATAGCAAAGTGTTGAAATTTCCTGGTATCATTTAGTCTTATTGAAAATTAGCTTAAATAAAGTACTACCATTCTAGTAGGAGAGAGTATTCACTTTTCAATTGTGGGAAAATATGAGATGGAAACTATAAAATTCTATCCAGGATTTAGAATACCCTGCAGACATCCCAACAATCTTTTTTCATGGATAGACAATAGATTCATTATAATCTTTTTTATTTCATAAAATGCATTGACTTAGAGAGATGTAGAGAAAAATTGAACAGATTACCAACCATGAAATATCTGTTACAGCAATTCATCCTAGAAGACCAAACACTAATGGGATTAAAGAATACTTTGTGAAGCTATAAAGTACCATAATTCAACCAGAACTACAAAAAAGACAAAAAAAAAAGAATGAAAATTAAAGTTTCACAAGGAATACAGATAAACAAAAATTAATAACAAAATGGTACCTTGTGAATCAGATTTTCACCCTTCAATATGTACACTAGCATTGCTCCCAAAATCCTTGACTCCAGAATCCATGCAGCAATCTTGATTAAAAACCCAGCCATTCGAGGAGCTGTATTCAATAGATGTACAATTTCTACTGTCATCAATGGAATACTCTATTTTCGAATTCATTCTTTTACTAGATAGTGCATAAGCTTCAGAGGAAAAGGGGAGGGGGATGAGTTATAACAAGTATTGAGACCAAACATGTGGTAGCTTGTAATCTACCACTACATTTAAGCAAATTCACCGATATGCAAAGCCCAATACATAAACAAACTACCAATATCTAATTACATAATTAATCCAAAATTTACTTAGCAAATATGATTTTAACTGAAAACAAGAGCATATATCAGACATTAGCAAATTTAAAGACAGAAGCACAGAAATGGGATAAGACCTGTGATGAATAGATTTTATTCAATTGGAATGAAAATTGTACTGAACTGCAGTACTAGATTATGAATATAATTTCAAAATCCTTTCTAGTCATCAATTGTGAAAATTTATACCCAAAACAGTAATTAGAAGAGACAGAACAAAAGAAATCAGAACAATTAGATATTGACTTCCTAATACAGAGTTCTGCTTACATCCTATCTACCATGGACAACCATTAATTGCTACCCAGATGCAGATAAAATTTTAATCAATTTGCACTGCGAACATTAGTACTCACTCTCACAACAACTAAATAACATCACAGCCTGATGGTAACAACGCAGAATTATTTGTCATGCACAGGAAACAAACGATAACACAGCAAGGAAAAGGCGATGGGATTAAAACCTTTAACATTTGCCCGGAGATAAACCTCATCGCTATCTGGGCTAAGATCAACTTCCTCTACAGGCTTGTAGATGACACGTTGGGTCTTAAAAAACCACCCCATGGTAGAAAAAGCAGAGACCCTTCAAAGCCCAGACCCTGAAACACTCAAAACAGAGGAGAGAATGAAGCAGAGAAATCAGAGGGAGATGAACAGGCTTAAAAGGGAAGGGAAAGAGAAATCCCAACTGAAAGATTTAAGAAGTAGGGGGAGAGCGCCAGAAATTGAAGAAATTAAATGAAAGCCCAACTGAAAATGCTGGCTTGTAATTAAGGAACGAAAAGTGAACAGAAGAGGGAACAGCCGAACAGGGAAGTGGTCGACTGGTCGCTTTCCAGTGCAATCGAGAAAAGAAGGAGGATAGCGAAGAGATGCATCTTTCTTCCTTGTGACTCGCGGGCTTCTCATCAATTTCTGGATTTGAGACCGAGAAAAAGGGCTGAAGCGTTGTTGGCCACTTAACGGTTTTCTTTCTCCCTAGAAAAAAATACGTAAGCTTTCGTCACCGTGACCGCGCGCGCGAAAAGGTTTTTTGAGTTGTGAACTTTGACACGTGTTTCGATCATGGACATCTGCTTACTTGGACAGATTTTTTTCTTTTTTTGAAGTTGACTGGTAAATTTGTTTTCATGCACTGCAAGTGGCAAATTAAATTCAGATAACCTTTTTCTTATTTATAACGAGGACCACCACGGTGAGCAAAGTTAATATTTATATTTAAGTCTAACTCTATTAAACTAATGTTATAATAAGGGGCAAATTTACAAAAATCTCATGTTCTAACCCTCCTTTTTTTTCATATTCTTGCATCCGAAGTCCAGAGGTAGAAAAATAATGAAAAAAAGAAGATTAGAATATGGGCATTTTTTTAATTCTATCCCTTATGCGAACATTAATTTAATGGAATTAGACTTAAATGTGTATTTCTGAAAGTTTAGATACTAAAATGATACATTAAATATTCAGACCCTGAAGTGAGACTATCTCAAAGTATAGGGTACCTGCAATTTAATTACCCAACTTTTAAAGTGGAATTTTTATTTTTTTGAATTTTTAGTTTTATTATTTCTTTTAGGAATTTTCACATTGAATCTTCATTTTGATATGGGCAGGCTTTAATTTTATCATTTTTATTCACTAGTGATGTGTCTTGTCAAAAACGACCCCGTAAATTCAAGCAATGCATGCAGCTCAACATGAATTTGGTTAGGTTTGGGTTTTGACATCAATTTGGATTCAAGCCAAAGCCAAAGTTAGTTTTTACGGTAGGTTGACTCTCAATCTAATCTAATTTATCAAATTTATACCTTGGAGAGAATTAAAGGAGTGCTCATTTTTTTAGATTTTGAGAGAGGGGAAAGTTGGCCAATGCGATTCACAATCTCATTTATCAAGAAACTTATGTTCTTTTTTTCAGATTTATGTGAGGACAAGGGAAAATTTAAGGGGAAAAATTGTCAATACTTGAATAGGACAAAAATGCCCCTTTTAATGGACTTTTATTGCTAAAATGGTCTTTTCCTTATTTACATGGAAAATAAAAAGACTTACCCAGATAAGTGAATTTACTTGGATAAATAACTTACGAAAAAACAAATGGAGCCTAAAAGAGGTTTAGAGAGATTTAATTAAGAAGAAATAATGGAATTTAGAGAGAGGGGGGGAGGGAGGGGGAACCAAATGAATAAGGTGGAACAAGCCAATAAAAATGTGTTAAAAATAAAACTAGCGCACTTAGCTCAGTTTGGGAAGAGTACAAATCATGGTTTTCAAAACTGGACTGGAAAAACCAGGAACCGGTCAGGTGATCAGTTCCGTTTCTCCCCAAAATTAGGATCTCTCAAAAAATCGTTGAGTTTGGTCAGCAAATCATTGACCCGGGTGATTAACCATTTGAACCATTCGACCCAATAACCGGACCCCTGACCGATTTGGTCTCCAGGTCGGTTTTAAAAACTATGGTACAAATACAAAACCTTGCTAAAAAAAATGCAAACCTTGCATATTATATTTATACAGTGCAAACCTTGTATAAGATATTTATAAACCTTGCATTTGCACTATATATATTTGTATTTGTATTCATCCCAAATAGATCGAGCTTCAAAAGAAACAAGGTAATAATCACGCTGCAGTTTGTTTGGCTGCAAGAGATAATCAAGCAAAAATAATCAATTCGAGAGCTAAACCTATTGCCTAGGCAGCAAGAGAAGCTGTTTTGTTTGCAAAGAAAAAGATGTTTCAAAGAATTATTATAGAGGGAGATTAAAATTTGGTCATTAATTGTCCATCCACTTCATGTTGAGATGGTCATAAGGCATCACTCATAACGAGAAGGTATGGATTCAAACTGCAGAGGTAGGCTCTCCGTTGTATACCAATTGGCCAGATCAGTGCCCTGTGACTAATCCCATTTACTGGCTAAATAGGTCTATTCTACAGCACCCGCCCCCTATGTCATAAGGCTGTGTTTGGTTGCAATGCAAATATATTTGTATTGATGCAAAATCATGATAATGCAAATGATTTGAATGTAAATTCTGACTTATTTTTGTTTCAAATTGTAACTTATTTTGCTTGATTATATTACAAATGAAGTAAATTAAGGCATGAAGTAAAATAAAGTAAAATCTAAAAGCAAAATTAAACAAGAATTTGCATTTTTTACATTTGCACTTCCATACATTTGTACTAATACAAATAAAATTACACTGCAACCAAACACAGCCTAAATGTTTTTATTGAAGATAGCAACAAAGTGGTGGAGGATGTCCTGACAATTGACTTTCTCTCATATTTTCAGGTAAGTAAACAAGTTGACAGATTATTGGGCTAATAATGAAGGACATTGAGTCATTTAAGTCTGTCTTTGGTTTGAAAGAAAAGATAGGGAAACCTGTACAAATCTATTTTATTTCAAAATAAAAAAGCCTTAGTGATGATTTGAACCTAGGGCTCTAATTGGTTGCATAGCAAATCTATTTGCACTGATGCAAAATAGTGTTTTAAATATGTGGGTGTAAATTCTCGTGTGCTTTTCATTCAAAGAACAAAATAAAATCTAAAATAAAATTCAACCATAATTTGTATTATTTTCATTTGTACTCCCAACTCCCATGCATTTGTACAAGCACTAATAGACTTCAATATTTAGGCTGTGTTTTTGTTGCAGTGCAAATTCGTTTGCACTGATGCAAAACTATGGTAGTGCAAATGATTTGGGCGCAAGTTTTGATTTAATTTTGTTTCAAATTTTATCTTACTTTATTTGGTTGCAATGAAAATGAAGTAAAATAAGACTTAAAATAAAATAAAGTAAAATAAGACTTAAAATAAAATCTAAAACAAAATTAAACTAAAATTTGCATTTTTTTTATTTGCACTTTTATACATCGCAAACTAGTGCAAATAAAATTGCAGTGCAACTTGCAGAAGAGCTACCCCGGTTTGGTGCAACTCTTTTTCCCTTGTAAGCAGTAGATTATAGACTAAAGCAGGCTTCATATATGGTTCCAACCTAAAAACCTAGAAAGAAAGAAAGACAGGCTTCAGAAATATGACCAAACCTGTTTAAACAGATTTTGGGAAAACTTCCAAAATCAATTTCCTGACAAGAAACAATTTCCAAAACTTGAAATCAACTTCAATGCCCTCAACAGACCATTGCACAGACAACAAGAAACGACCACAATGAAAAACCTGCTTTTATTGCTCTTAAATAACTGATCCAACTGTGGTGGCCACAACCATCTGCATCACCTGAACAACTATGGTGGCCACGAACAGATTTTGGTTAAAGCCTGTTCTTTTGTGGAGTGCAATTTCATTTGCAAAAGTATGGAAGTGCAAAATAAAATCAAAGCAAAAGTGAATGGCAATCTGAACGGGGATGGGTACGAGACGGTTACAGAGTGGGGTATATATGTTTGGGGTCCAGGGTGGAATATTTAAAACCCAGCCCTGCTTTGCCCCGTTTTCATTCCTATTTTGCAAATTTCAATTCTACTCCCGTGCTTTTTTACTAATGAAAATGAAATTGCACTACAATGGTTAATGAAATTGCACTAATGAAAATGAAATTGCAGTGCAATGAAAATGAAACTCTACATTATCTCTTGTATATGCAAATTGTTAAATTTGTAGGGAAATGTTCCCAATGTATGACTGGACTCCCATGATTTACAGTGTGTGCAGAGGATCCAATCGCCCTTTCAAAACACATTGGTTGGGGCTGTTCATGTCAATAGAAATTTATTTCATATTAGGGTGTCGTTCACTTTTCGGTAAGTTATTTATCTGGGTAAATGCAATTATTTAGATAAATTTTTTCTGAGAAACATTTACTCGGGTAAGTACATTTACCCATGTTCTTTTATTTCTTAGGTAAATAAGGTAATGACCATTTTATCCATAAAAATCTATTATTAAAAGGGGCATTTTTGTCCCATTCAAGTGTTAGAAACTTTCCTCCTATGTGGGAAAATTATTTATCCACCTAAGAGATGGGTATCCACTAAAATAAACTTTCCTTGATCCCCACATAACTCTGAAAAATGAACATGGAATTCTTAGGCAATACTTAGATTACATGTTTTATTGTCTAATAGTTTAGTAAGTATGATTTTACCGTTCATGCTTGGTTTTCATTTTGGTTTCTGGATTGTATTTGAAGCAATACTGAATGAAGTTTGGCCATTTGGCTTAAAAACTATATATAATGAAAAAGGATATAGGAATAGAATGGCCAAACAGAATTCATGTAACTGACCCCATATGGTTGGAGCCTAGTTGATGATGATGACTGATGAATGACCACGTTTGTATGGGCCTCTCAAACCACTTTGGACCTACTATGATCAAGATGGGTATACTGAGCTAAGAAACCCAATCAGACAAACAGATCAGCAATTTATACTGCTATATATAGATGCACCAGCAATTGCTTTGTTTATTTGTAATTGAGTTTTGTCCGTTGTATGCATCTTATTATCTTATTAGTAATAGATTTAAGCCATGTTTGGGAGTGTTTATTATTTTTAAACAAGCTTTTCAAATTAGTGCTTATTAAGTAAGTAGTTTCTGAGTGTTTGGAAGTGCTTTTTAATTGGGTTTTTTTCTCTTTGTAAAGCACTTCTCTGAAAAGCAATAAACAATAAACCCCAAATTCCACTTTTTTCTAAACGGGTTTTCTTGGGTGAAAGTCGCTTGTTTTTTATATGTTTTTTTTTTATATTAAATGCCCATTATTCCAGCTTTTTTGAATGCTTTTGAAATCTTCTAAGTGCTTATCCCAATAAACACTTAAAAAAACACTCCTAAACAAGGGCTCAAAGTCTTAAAACCATATTTTCAGCATGGAATCGTATCCCCTCTTCCTTGAAAAAAAAAGAATAAATTTACTGTACAATTACGAATTTTTACTAATGTATATTAGATGTAGA